GCTTGTTTATTGTTTTCTTTTTCCTTTTACAAACAACAATAATGGAAAAGTGCTGCTAGGCGCAAGAAAAAGAAATACATTAAATTAATTAAAAGGACGTTTGAGAGTGAATTGTTTGAGGTGAGATATAATACGACTCTGCTGGACTGAAATCTCAAGCCTTAAACAGGAACAAAGGGGGAAAAGGAAAGCTCGTATTTTTTTAAAAAAGGAAGCATATTAATCCCTTAAGAAACAACTTAGTTTTAAAAATACAAGCAAACAAAACCCTAGAAAAATTACTGCCTCGAAATGCATCTTGAAGAGAGGTCGCCTTGTCGAACGCATACACTGCGCGCGCCGTTTTTAACAGGTGAACGTGGAAGTAAGTTACCAATGGTTTGCAGAGAACTTACTCCCGTGGAAAGGCACCGGGGATCGACAGCCTAATCCAGTTTCAGAGGCAGCGAGACCACTCATCCCCAGCCCCTCGTCCCGCCAGGTGTGCATCGCCGTTGAATACGAGGCGATATTACTAGGAACTGGAGAGCTCTGTAAGCTTTCCTTTGAAACAAAGGCAGTCATTCTCAAATCCTGAATTAAACTAAGGCAAAAACGAAGATCTCCAAAAGAGAGCGATCTGGGGCATATTTTGAAATAAGAGCGACAGTTTAATGTGTGCTTATCTCTACTTTTAATAGGACTATAGCCCGCTCTCCTCCTGGCTTTCCTGCTCGGGATAACGGCGTTCCGTGCCAGCAAAGCAAGGCAGAGCAAGTCAAACGAACTTGACCGATATCGGGGCTCCAGACGGGGCAGCTCCCGTGCTTTTGTCTGATCCGTGGTTTAACTCATCTACACTTCTGTGAAGAAAGGAAACGGGGCGCCCCCAAGACCGACTTTCTGGATACGTCTGTGAGGAGACCGGGACCTTTGGGGCGAACTCAACGCGCCTCCGGAGTCCTCTTGCCTCAGCCGGCGTGCCTGGGGAGAGGCGAGAGCAAGCTGTACCTGCGCCCAAGGGTTGGGGGCTGCCAAGTTGCGAGCGGGCTGGCTGCTTTCCCGCACTGGGAAATATTTCGTTTCAATGTTCAAGGGAATTTTCTGGGGACACTTAAGATCGGCCCGGTACTGGAGTATTCGTTCTCCGTTCATCTTACCAACAGATTCCTTTGGACATCTGGAGTGCAACACTGGGTAGAGAAACTTTTTATTTCCTCAACTTCGAGGAAACCCTCCTCGGGGCTGATGCCCTGATCCTAACCAGTCTGCTTGGCATTAAAAGGCCTCGCTGGTTCCCAGTAATCCCAGTCATGTGTGGTTAAACCTAAAGTCTCTCTTCGTGGCCCTTTGCTTGGAAGTAAGCCCCACTGAAATCGCTGCCGATTACAGTGGATTTAAGAACGAGGTCAGAAAGCCTGACCCAATGAAACCCCGGAGGAACTGCCTGCGATCCTAAAGACGCTTACACCTCTAAGTCCCATTGAAATCAATGGCGTTTACTTCCAAGTCTACGCGCTTAGAATTGCGGTGATAAGCTGCCATCAGGGTTTATGAGCAAATCGTACCATGAATGGAGGCAGAGGTAAGACAAAAAAGAGTTGCGAGAAGCCAATGAAGATGTTTTACGACCACCCATCAACAAGCACTCTGCGCTTGTGGCGGTCAATAGCCTTAAGTGTGCGTGCCCTGGGGCTGAACTTTCACCTCTCGAACCTAGTGAAACCCGATTGGCTGAGAGTTAGGAATCTGAGTAGAAGAGCGCTCGGCTCCCTTCAAAACCTGGCGTCCACACCTCTTGCCTTTCCTCCCAGACTTGGGTTAGGGAGGGGGCGAGGGGGGTCGGATCTGCTGCCCATACGTCTTCAAATAGACCCGGAAAGTATGAGAAATGCATGTGCGCTTGCATTAACTCTGTGGGGAAATGGCTGCTTTCCAGGACGCACATAAAACCATTGCCCTACCGTCACAGACACACGTTTCAAAGCTGCGCACTCCTTTTGCGCTTCCCGGACGGGAATGATTGCAACTCACACACTGGGAAGTTTATCAGTGTATTCCCGAGTCTTTTCGTCTTCCCCGCTTTCTTGGGGAAAGAAGCATCTAAGCAAACTTGCTTTCATCTTTTCTCTTAAGAAATAAGGGAATAATACGTGAGCGTTATCCCGATCCCATGAGAAAGATTTGGTATAATTTCCATCTTTTCTTCACCCCTCCCTTTTCGAACCGACAGACAAGCTGCATCTGTGGAACGATAAACTTTCCAATATGCCTTAGACTCAGCAGCCATTAAAAATAGCGACCCTTGCATTCCATTTAGATCTTCACTTAACTGAACCTTTTAAAGTGTACTTTTAAAAGTTTTTTAAAAAAACCCTTAACAATAAACCAAATGTTGATATGTTGATTGTCCCACTTTTCACATCGCCAACCAAGAGCTCATGTAAAATAGATTTCTTACAAAAATGGTACAAAGATTGAAAAGAGCCCATCAAGATTTGGAATCGCGGTTACGGATATTATTTTGTTAGCCTAGGTTAGTCTGGAAAGTTTCTTATAGCCAGGTAAGTCGGAGTACTTGAATTCATGTGGCACAGGGTCCCATATGTTCCAGTGGGATTACACCGGTTTAACAAATCTATGTGTATTTAAAATGAAGATATTACGTTTAAAAGCCTTGTTGATCGGGCTGCCCTTCATTTTGGGCGAAGAGCTACAACTATTTTAGCTGGATACACGATCTGAATGTGCAGGAAAGGAAGAGGACATGTGGCATTTGGACATTTTTATGACTCTGACAGCCGTGTGTGTGTGTGTGTGTGTGTGTGTGTGCTAAGAATGGCAAGAAAAATCTTTGCAAGGCTAGAGGTTTTCACGGCACTTAGAACAAAAGTTAAAATCCTCTGTTCACTTTCAAAGTTGCTCCTGTTGCCTCTTGATGGAAGAGGCTCCTGCCCACGAAGGCATCCGTCGCAATAAAAAGTAGTTTAAGTTACTACAAGACCGGTTAGGCTCTCCTCTTAGCTACATGATCAGCCATTCAAACGCAGAAAATGGATGAACTTTCCTTGACGTCTCAAATAGAGTTGTTGCGATCTTGCGTTATAAAAGGCGCTTCGCGGGCCTCAGCCGGCAGACTGGAAGCCGTTAACTGTGGCAGAAGGCGAGGAGGTTCGCTGCTCACTACGCCGAAGCAGAACCTCAGTTAAGCAGCCGTTTCACCTTACCAGTTCCAATGGAAAGGGGAACGAGAACTGCGAGTGGGCATACAGTAAAGCGGACAGGGCTTCAATTTACTCCAGGTGCTCAGTGCTGAAATATGCGGAGCAACAATAAGCCTGAACGTGTCTCTGAGCATGTGCAGTTTGCCTCCTTGGTGCGAGTGATGCCACCTTTCTCATCTGGAATTAAGACTATAACTATACATCCTTTACTGTGAATAAAACCCACTGAATACAATGGAACAATCCTGAATAAATAGACATAGGTTTACTGTGTAAGATTACAACTCCATTTGTGCTTGGAACTTTCCTACACGAGGCATTATGATGCATTCGTGATTCCTCACTCAAGATAGTTTGCTGATGCTTTACGCTGCGTTATCCTCCTCCACGGCCTCTCTTGTTTGCAAATTTATAGCACTTTCTTTCTCTTTACGAGGACTCTCGTATTTCCTTAAATGGCGGCATGAAACTTTGGTTTATTTGCGCCATACCGCAGCGCCACCTAGTGTCTGGGCAATCGAACATAGAGAAAGAGGGAAAGAGAAAACCCACCAAAAAACGTGTGGAAGACTCATCTTAATCCCACAAAGGTTCTAGAAGCAACAGCCTTGAAGAAGTCGCAGGTTAAAAGCCTCATACAGAAAAGCCCCGGCTGAGAATAAGCCTCACAGAATACACGGGACCTACCTCCAAGAAAAGACGCGTAAGACTGCTGTGCGAAAAGTTAGGGCTCAGACTTTTAGGCAGGTTTCAGACCCGCTCGCAGGCTTCTCTCACGCTTTCGAAGCGTGAGGAGAACGTAGCCGGCAACTTGCTTGCACGATTTACTAGGCTTTTCATTGTATGGGAGCTTGGGTGGGTGTTTAGCTGAGCGCATCTGAGGCCACCCGCTGCCTCTCGCCTTCCTGACTGTGGGGTGTGCTTGAGGTCAGAGTTGGGCTCCGGTGTTTTGTTAGAATACTAAAGCGCCATGGGAAGCAGAAAGACTGCCTGAAAAGCGCGCGCTTTGGCCGAACTCTGAACAGCACGGCCCAAGTCTGAGATTTCCACCCCCTCCTCCTGAGCCAGAGCTTCAAAGCATTCTCTCCGAAGGGCCCTTGCAGCCCTCCTTCCGAGAAGGCCCCCCTCCTTCCGAGGACTGCTAGGCTAAAAGCTGCTGGCGTAACTCGGCCCTGCCAATTTAACAAGAGGCTTTGTTTTCTCCTCGGTTTGCTAAACTGGTTATGGTGGATCAGAAAGGGGAGGAGAGCAAACAACTTCTCGGATGGTTTGTTTACATAGCAGGTGGACCTGACGTCAAGAAGGACGCTTCACCGCGAATCCCAATAATATCCTGCTCCGCGAGCAGGGCTCCTTGCCCGTGAGAAGGCTAGCAAACAGGGTGAACAAGAGAGCACCAGCGGCGAGGGAGGGGGCATTGTCAGACTGATTTCGCTGCACTTTTAGGGGGGAAGCAAAAGCAGCTTTCAATTCTTCCCTCCCGCCTTCCTCGCTTTCACAGGGCTTTATTAACACAACTTTGCAATCTCTAGGAGCCGCTCCCTTTCTCCCCCCAGAGATAACGGGGGGGGGGCGCCGCCGCGTGCGTGGAGGCGCAGCATTAAAAAACATTTTTTAAAAAATCTTCCACAAATACGCACATAGAAGAGACGCAGCTGCACACTCCATCGAGAGCGGGCCAGACCCACACCCAGGGGGAGGGAGAACGCGAGAAGCAGCGCGAGCCTCTGAGAGAACGCGAGACCCCGTGCAGCTGCCTCTGCCTCCGCTTTTGCCGTCCGCCGCTTGGTTGGTTTCTTGCTTTGGTCGCTGCCCAGGCCCGGAGCCACAGAGCCAGCCTGCGCCGCCTGCGGAAGAATATCTACCCCGTCAGAGACGCTGCTCTGGCCGCTTCTCCCTCGCTTGTTCTTCTGTTCGCAGAATCCCCCCTCCCACCCGGCGGCTCTTCTGGCGCGTCCCAGCAGCGGCAGCAACAGCAGCGGCGCCTCCTCCTGCAAAACACTTTTCTCCCTCGGCGTGTGTGTATTTGCGTGTGCGTGCGCGCGGCGAACGAGTTCAGTTCCTGCCTCTCTCTCTACCCCGCGGTGTCGTCTTCTCCGGACTCTCCCCTCAGTGTGCGCTCGTGGTAAGTTTTTGCTTTTCTCCTCCCTTCCCTCCCCCCCGCCATCCTCAAGTCCGGGGTTTGGCTAGTTACTTTCATCCTCTCGCTCTCGGTTCCCCTCCCCCTTCCGTTTTCTCTTCAGCTGCTTCTTGCTGCTTGCCGCAAAGTTTACCTCCACGCCGTCCGAAACGGGGGGGGGGGGAGTCGCCCATGTCACATGTGTCAAGGTTTGTGCTTGGCAGGTGCTGAAAGCGCCTCCTCCTTCCCCCACACACTTCTTCTTAAAGTAAACAATAGCGTTGGGCTAGCTGGCACTTAATTTTGCATGCCTCTTTGTTTTCCAGGTGTGTGTGTGTAAATGAAGCGAAACAGTTTTAAAAGCGTGACTCTTAACGCCTGGCCAGTTGCTGTTTTCTTGTATTTTCTAGGAAATGCACCGGTTCCTCCCCCCCCCCCGCAAAAAAAAAAAGGAAATCGTTGTAGCACCTCTAAGATGTAGCAGATTTATGGTGGCGTGCGATCGTGGATTAAGAGCCTACTGAATGCGTTTGATGCTCAGTCTTCGAGGTGTCGCAAACGTGTGCTTGTGGGACGCGCGCGTGTGTTTCAGATACATACCCATAAAAACGTATAAAGACTTTCAAACTTTCGAAACCGGCCCGCATGGGTTGTTAGCAGTTACTTAGATCAGTCAAAGGTGCATTTAAGCCGTCTCGTAGACTGTTTCCTTTTAAACCTGAGGAGGAAGTTTCCAGTGCTGCTCCAGCGTGTGTGTTGCTGTCCCTCAGTTTAAGTCCCTTGTGTCACTTTTTGCGAATGGGAAGCATAGATAATCGGCTAGGAGAAAGCACGTGTGTCTTCTGGAGAGCAGCGGGACTTGCACTTTCCATGTCAGACTTATGTGCAGAGGAGGGAGGGGAATCGAGGAGCAGGAGGGAGCGCGAAGGGCCTAGCTGTGACACTTCGCCACATCCAGACGGCTTTGGCACTGTTCGTTGACTTTTCTTCCTTCCATCAGCTGCACGTGCACTAATCAGGGTTTTTCGCGGTCTACGCTCTCTGACCAAGACAAGTTACTGCATTTTATTTTTAAATTTTATTTATTTATTTAGCTGCCGTTTGCTGAACCTCTGAACACCTTTTCCTAGTGCCTTTTGATTGCACTTGCTGAAGAATGTTAACCTTGAACAATAATAAAGAATGCTGGCCTAAAACTATTGATTAATAAATAATAATGGTACACCTATATGGAACTCCTGAGGCATGCTTCCTACCTTGTTGTTAAGGAGAACCTTCTCCTGAAACTCACTCTTGAAATCCAAGACATAGACAGTTGTGAAAGTTTAATTTTAAGAGTGTTTGAGATGGAATGGGTAAATGGCTCTAAGGCATGTTGGACTTTGTTTATAGATTTGTGAGTGTGAGGGCAGAGAAATAAAATTCTAGCTGATCTCTACTGAAGTTTCCAAGTGATTATGCAAATACAAGACGTTCATATTGTAAGAATGACTATAATTACGGGACAGATTTCACAATGAAAGCAATCTGACTCCTCATTGCAGATTTTGTGTCTGAGCAACTTTTCAGTAAAATATGTAGACTTAAATAGTGCGTGCCTATTTCGTTTTCTTCTCAAAGAAATTGTTGGCTGCTTTCATTGTCAGCATAAATTCTCAGACTTTGGATACCTGTTCTAGAGGAAATGGTAGGGGGGTCATGTTTTGAAAGGAAGACATGTAGTAGTATACTTGGCAGCAGTGACAGGGATGGAAAGATGTAGATGAATTTCAGGGGGGAAAAGTTTCTTGAATGACTAGCACTGACTTGTGGGTATCCAGTCTGCAGAAGTAGAGACAGAACCCTAAGACTTTTTGAATAAGCAGTACTTCAGTTTCATATATCTTTATCTTGTCTATAAGTTGATGAAAAGATAATCTAAACAGTGCAGTGCTGTGTATATTTATTCTGAAGTAAGCCCTATTGGGCGAGGGTGGGGTTACTCCTGATTAGGGATAGAACTCAGCGTGGTGATCCTGAGCAGTCTCTATGTTTGTTTAGGAGTAGGCATTGCTATTTCCACATACAAGAATTCAGAATCTGGATGCAAATGCCAGTTTTTAATGTTACTTTACTCTTCTAGAGTAAGATCAAAACTCTTCTAAGTAAGTGAATGAAATTTCTTCACTTATTTAGTTGGCTGGATCAGTATGTTGAGTTAATCTTCATGAAATGGGGTGGCGTGATAAGAGCACTTATTTTGTAAAAAGTAGTTAAATATTGCCTATAAGGTACTTAGTTACTTCTCATATGCAAGATAACGGAAATCTGTTGACATACTGTGTTTAATAATATTACAATGCATTGTTCCAAGTGTTGCTAATCACATTAAATATATGTGAAATTATCTTTTCATAAAGGGGAGACCCCTTAAAGTTAGATTTTAAGTTTCTATTCTTACAGCACAATCGTGTATGCATGCATATGTGTTTGTAGGTCCCATTGAGTTTAATAAGGTTTACTCCCATATCAGTTGGTATAGGGTTGTAGACTTATCTAGTCATATTAACTGAAGAGCATTATGCAAAATACTTGTTTATTCTAATGCATGGAGACTGACTCCTTCATCCCCCAGAATTGGTGGCATACCATTGTATGTAAAATTAAAATGTATAGCAGTGTTTTACACATGCAAATTTAGTTATTTGGCAAACTAATTCATAAATATGCCAATGAACGTAAATTGGGCTATAAATCAAGACCTATCCCCAAAAAGGCCCTGTGCTGTACTTTGTTTTTATGCAGTATTTATCATAAATGCTTTCTACAAGATATCATGATATATTTAAATAGCTATTAATGTTGGAATAATGTCTTATCTATTGAGGATCAATGCATGCTAACAAGAGGGCTGTATTTGTATTCATTTCATGCCTTTGTGCCATACCACGTTGGAGTCAGCAGTGATAAAACAGCTAATGAAAGGACATCAGACAAACTAATTTATTTCTTACTAATTATCAGTGACTTCCTGTTATGTTGCTAACTTTTTGAAAAGGTAGGAGATCTTAGGGTTTTTTTGTGGGGAGGGGGTATATTCTTTTATCAAATACTCCAAAATATAACATCAAATAAATAATCTGGCCTACCTCATGACTAGATTGGAATATGCTGGGAGTTGTAGTACTTTTTTCTGTCCAAATATGCATAGACATGCTTCCCAAGAGAACATTTCTTCTCTACATGCTTGTCTGGCATATTGAAGTTAATTTTTTAGTACTTGTGAAAGAAAGCGTTATGGTTTACTCGGCTAATATTGGGGTAAGCTAGTTCTTGGTGAGGAAGAAATGAACAGTGTGAATTTATGTGTTTTCTGAGTCAGTTTATGAATGTGGTGTTTACTTTTTGAACTGAAAATGTTTTAAGGCGCAGGTCAATGAGCAATACTCAGGTATGATTGCTAGTAGAGAAAATTGCAAATCACAATTAAAATTGGAATGCTATAAGTTCCATTACAAATTTTGAGTACAAGTTTTGTGGATGCTCAGATGGATTACATTTCTAAGGCTTTTCTCAGTGGAGTACTGGAAACAATGGTTTATTTGCACATAGGTGTGCTTAACTGTTATTTGTATAGATATAGAGACTGGATACTTTAGAACTAGATCTGTGCTGTACCTATGTATAACTGGTATTTCTTCATATATAGTGATTATAGATAAGTTGTTAGTATTCAAACAGAAGAACTAAACCCCATTTTTAAACTAATACAGGCTGCATTTTTAAACACACTTAATAGGGATGGGGAATCAGTTCCATTGAATTCAGTGGGGCTTATGCCTGAATAAACACTGAGAAGATGCTGGTTGGAGTCACCTCAGAGAAGATACAGAAAGTACTTCTGTGTCAGAAAAAGCATGTGGCTGCTGGCAGTCATCACATGTAATAGTTTTCCATCTTGTTTCTTCAGAAACAAGGGACACTGCCATATGCTGAGTCAGATAATTGGTCTGGCTAGCTTAGGATTGTCTGCACGGACTAGCAGTGACTCTCCAAATTTTTTTCCTAGTCCTGCACGGAGAACGTGGAGATGGAATATAGGACCCACTGCATGCAAAGTACATGTGCACTAGAATACAAAGCATTTTAGTGCAGTAGAAATGCAGCAAAATAAATGCATTGTAGACAAAGCTTTGCATGAAGTTTTCATTTTATATTTATGTGGTGGTGATTTCATGTAGGAAATTAGTTTTAAGAAATTAATATTTTGAAATTTGGGCTAGTTCCACATGGGCAAAGAAATACAGAACTGTCAAAGTCTAAGTGTGAGGTTGTTGGATGTAGCTGAAGTATGATAAGATTACACTTCTGAGAGCATGTTGGGGAGCCTTGGATTCACAGGATCCAAAACTCCTTGTTCTTTTTACATGTTGTCAGGGTACCTATTAGGGCCAGTGGGAGGAAGAATTTTAGAAAATGGTATGGGGGAGTATCCCCCACCTTCTGTCCTTGTCTTTGCCACCAGAATCCCCTTCCCCCACATAGCCTGGGATACATTCCTAACTAGTTGCACTTGCCCCAAGGACTTGCACATTGCAGTCCTTGGGATAAGGTTATGTTGATTGATGTCAAAACAAGCTAAATGCTCTAGAAGACTCAAGGGTCCTTGGTCAGTTTCTAGAAAACTGGTAAATCATACTGGGACCCACTTCCTTCCCACAGCAAATGCAGTGGATATTCCTGATCCCTGTACGCTGTAAGTTACTTGGATAGGTTACTGAAGGGTAAGTGCTTCTGAGCTCATGGGAGTTTTTGAGAAAATAAACTTTTCCACAAAGTGCCTAAGGACATAATTCTGCAGATGTGTGTATTGTGCCTTATTTTGTGAAATGATGCTTCCTTTCCCATTGCTTTTAGATTAGAGTCTGTATGTAAAGAAAACTTTGAACTGGTGGCGTATGTTCTCTTCCCTGATCTTGAGCTGGATAAAGAAATGGAGGTAGATGAAGGAGAAAATACAGTAATGT